ATTATTACATTTTTCTAAAATTTAGCATGAGATTGCTTTAATTCTGTGGAAAATTATAGTAAACGCAAGAAAGAAGGGGGTACTTCAATGAAAAATGCATATTTTATTGAACTTTGCTGCTGATAGGCCGATTCATACTAAAAGTAAATAAAAATGCCCTGTCTAAAACCAATTAGGCACAGTGCTCTGTCAGTATAGACATAAATACATAAATAAAGAAACTCTATCATTTTTATAAAGGACAGGCACATTTGTTTTATAAGAAAAAATAAATTAAAATCAAGTAAACATTTTCTTCCTGTAAACCAGGGGCAGGCACATTAGCAGCAATAAAACAGTAATTTAAAATACTCTTGTCAGGCACAGTCGGGCATAACGTTAAATCCTTTTCTTTTTTTTTTACCGAAATTAGGCTTATAAAATGTACAATGTATTGTACATCCAAAACAAAACGTATTGGCTTCCATGTTATTTAAATCTTACCGAGGCGAGTCAAACTCCGTTTCATTCAACTGTCCGACGTGCTTTCTCTTTAAATGTTCGTGCATCACCGAGGTGCTGCCGTGATACGCAAGGACTGCTTTGCAAACCATGCAGGTAATCTTTTTATTCGCCGTATCCAGGCTAAAATGCTCCCAAACTTTAGATGTTTTGGTGCGCGCAGCTGCTGCGTTGGACGCCGCCATTTCTGTATGTTATCGCTCAGCAGAGAAGCTAATGCGCATGTGCGACTCTCGGCAGAGATTGTAACGTTAATGAAGAGAGATGTCTGGCGACAACTTTTCTACTATCGATTTTTGTCGACAACGTCGACGAATCGTTGCAGCCCTATTGCAGAATCTCTCAATCGCTCCATCAGGTTGGATGAGGAGCGTCGGTGCACAGCCATTTTCAGATCTCTCCAGAGATGTTCAATCGGGTTGAAGTCTGGGCTCTGGCTGGGCCACTCAAGGACAGAGGTGTCCCGTAGCCACTCCTTTGTTTTCTTGGCTGTGCCGTTGTCCTGTAGGAAGATGAACCGTCGCCCAAGTCTGAGGTCCAGAGCGCCCTGGAGCAGGTTTTCATCAAGGATGTATCTGTATATTGCTGTATTCATCTTTCCTTCGATCCTGAATATTCTCCCAGTTCATGTCGCTGAAAAAATTCCTTAGACCTCATGGCTTGGTTTGTGTTCTGACATGCACTGTTAACTGTGGGACCTTATATAGACAGGTGTGTGCGTTTCCAAATCATGTCCAATCAACTGAATTTACCACAGGTGGATTACAATCAAGTTGTGGAAACATCTAATGCCGAGTTCAGACTGCACGATTTTCAAAATAATCGGGTCACTGTTGTTTTCACACTGCATGACTATCTGGGGTAACGTTCAGTTGCTGCTGTGTTCACACTGCACGATGGATCGGCGACAGGAGGTTTCACACGGCATGACTTTACAAAAGAAAGAATCGCCGACAACTTCTGCCTGGTCCGCAAACTACGTTTCACAACCAAACAAACGCGAGAAGTGATAGGAAATAACGGAAGATCACGCGTGCGTGAGACCGGAGTTCTCGCGCAACACTGAATTTGTTATTAAAAATGATAGCCTACAAATTGTCTGTGCACTGATTTGTAGCGAAAATGAAAAAAAAACAAACAGTTTATGCAGGAAATGGTTGGGAAGACGAGGGGAGCAAGGACTGTGTTTTGCAAAGAGAGTTGGGGGTAAATAAATAATTTTGCAAATGTCCTGCTGTTGCTGCTGGTCATGCAAATGTGTGTGCTTTGTTTCTGTTTGATATAATTGTAAATATAGGCCTATCTATTAAAATACTGATATTCTGGTCTATAACTCCTCCTCCTCCTCCCTGTATCTTGCTCTCTCATTGGCTGTCGGTCATCGCCGATGTAGTTTTCAGTCAGAACACATTCACACAGCAGGATTGTGAATCGCCGACAGGTCCAGATATTTAGCATATATTTATTTCGTCGGCGATTCTCTCAGATCGCGTCTTTGCTCATTCACACTGCGTGATTGTCACTCGCGTGAACGAGCACCGATTTGCCTGTGATTTCGGGCATTTGTCGGCGATTTCTCAAAACCTGTCGGCGAGCCAAAATCGGGGCTAAAATCGTGCAGTCTGAACTCGGCATTAAGGATGGTCCGTGGAAACAGGATGCACCTGAGCTAAATGTTGAGTGTCCTGGCAAAGGCGGTGAATACTTATGTAGGCTACATGTGATTTTTTTTGTTTAGTTTTTTAATTTGCAAAGATTTGCAACTTCTTTCACGTTGTCATTTTGGGGTATTGTTTGTAGAATTTTAAGGAAAATAATGAATTTAATCCATTTTGGAATAAGGCTGTAACATAAATGTGAAAAGAATTAAGCGCTGTGAATACTTTCCGGATGTACTGTATGTTAATGATTACTAAGCAATGTAGTATCTAGGTGTATTAATGTATGTATGGTCACAGGTGTGTTTATTGACATTTTACAGTAACTTCGAATGTGGTTCATCTAACACATTCTCACAACAACTTCTAACTATTTTGATTTGGTGCATCTTCGTATGAATTTGCACATCCCCATTTGTGCATTTTTCATATGATCTGCTCTCGCCCCACTGGGGAGCAGGTTTAGGGATGGGGTTGGGCATGAAGCTTCATACTCAATTAATTTATACAAATCATACATTTCCATATGATCATATGAACTTATATGAACATATTCGTAAAATAGCTATGTTTTCTCATGACATTGAGTTGGGCTCATCCAATCAGAATTTAGAGTCTAAATTCAATGATCTGTCATGACGATCTAGATGGCTCAGGCTGATTGGTCCTTAACTCAATCTGCATGCAGTCACATCATTTTCAATCGGGCACAGCTGATTGGTTCCTGCTGGATCAGAAGCCAATGAGATCGCTGCTCAACCTTTAAATACTGGTCAGCATTTGCTGTAGCAGTTGCAATGCGCTTTCAGAAACCCTCCACCTACCCCAGCTCCACCTGTATAGATCTGCTACGGGTAATTCACGTATGATATATTGTGCAGCAGCATGTCTTACTTGCTCACAGCAATGTGTCGTGTATTGGCAGTGTCAAGTCCCTTACTTGATCTGCAGAAGCAGCAGCAATAACAGCAGCAGCGTAGCAGATCAATTCCACCAGGACTAAACATATCAAGATTGTCCAGCCCGTTCTCATCCTTTGGCGTCATACATGTGACGCTTTGTACATTTCGTTGAAATCTTACGCACATGGCATCCTTTAGCATCAATATGAGACGCAGAACCCAAGGCGTCATACAGGTGACGCGCGTCTAAATCCAACGCACATGGCATCGTTTAGCGTGAATATGAGACGCAGATCCCAAGGCGTCATAACCGTACCCTACCCCAGACCTAAACCTACCCATAACAGTGCGTGTTATATTGACGCTAAAGGATGCCATGTGCGTAAGATTTCGACGAAATGTCATATGGCGTCACCTATATGACGCCAAAGGATGAGAATGCATTGGATTGTCATATCCATCACCATACCAAACACTCAGAGTTGTCATGACATAACTATCCTTTTTAAAAGTGCAGACCTCATGCAAACTAAATTAAGATAAACATAAAAAAAATTAAAAATACTATAAATATTGAAAGAGACATCGCTTTCACTTTTACCTTTTTTTCTCAAATGAAGTGGAGTCTGTTTTAAATTCAGTGAGGGCTCTTCTGCCTGACAGTACAGCGGTGTGAAACTGCAGGCCTTTCTAGCTGTCAGAACCCCACATTTCACTGCTGTTTGACAGGAGAAAGAGAGATAGACTGTTTGTTTGTGTGGAAAAAGAGAGAACGACTTTGTGCTAAAATATGGCCATTTTGTTCATGGGTAAATGCACATTTTTTATTCAGAGTTTTTATTATTATTCTGTTGATCTAATTCTCGTACATCCTAGGAAATGGAGGTTTGGATGGATGTGAAATGTATAAATAAAAAACACTTTATATTAGGTGTCTCTTTAACTACTATGTACTTACATTCAATCTAAAATGTTTGGAACAAAGCACTTATTGTGCTGATGTTGTAAACAGAAAACATGTGGTTAGTCATAAATTAACTATAAACAATTAGTACTATGGTTTTTGTTCAAACCTCTAACATTGAGTATGTACAATAGCAATAGTATTATTTTACTAACAAACATTAATGTTCGAGTCTTTGTCATAGTGATATTGAATACTGAATAAAGAAACTTATTTGTGTTTGAGAGAGTGAAATCCCTTGTTTCCACTATTCTCCTGTGACTGCTCATCTGCCATTTAACACATTTCCTGTAGTGTCTGAATGTCCATCATAACATCAGGAGGCAGCACATAATGAGACACAGAAAGATCATATAAGTTGTATACGATGCCAGGGGTGGTCGTGGCGCAGTGGATAAGACACATACCTTTGGTGTGAGAGACCCGGGTTCGAATCCACTGTGAGACACCAATGTGTCCCTGAGCAAGACACTTAACCCCTAGTTGCTCCAGAGGCGTGCGACCTCTGACATATATAGCAATTGTAAGTCGCTTTGGATAAAAGCATGAATAAATGTAAATGTAAATGTAAAATACGCATGGAATTATCTTTGCCATATTCCAGCCTGAAGTCCACTTATAATGTTCCTCTACCAGACACAGATACAATTTAATGTTTCATGACTATTTTCCACCCTGATCTTTACAATCAAACAGACTGTTTTTGCCACTGTATCTTTAAAATGTAAATGTGGATGGCCATATGAGCTCATGGTTTTGATGTCCTAATCATGAATATTTCATAATGAATCATTTCTTCCAGTTTCAATAGATGCACTAAATAGACATTACTGTATGGCACAAAGTACTGCACATCTATATTATTAAAATCAAATGAAAAAAAAAAATGCCTGGCCCCTTTAAAAATATTCAATTGATTATTATGTACAGTAATATAGTTTTTCTGAGTTAACTGTGTTTTTATGTGTTGTACAGAGAGATGAACAGGATGGACCTGAGGAAGACACTAGGAGTATCACAGCATCTTCAGTTATGGTATGTCAATCTCTTCCATATTTAAAACACAAATAAATTAAAATAAAATAATATAATATATATAAAATGTACATCTAGTTCAGTCATAAACTCTAGATGGCACAGGCTGATAGGTCATTTGCATGCAATTTGCAAACAAGCGCACTAATACCACATGGCACAAGCTGATTGGCTTCTGCTAATTCTACAGCAGGGGTGGCGAACCCCTGCAGTCAAAGAGCGTGCGGCTCTTTGACTGCTTTTTTGCGGCTCGGTTCAGTCATGTTATACTAAGCTATCGCTTTTCATTCATCTTTTTTAGAATTTCTAAATTTTATTTAAAAATAAATAGGAATGAATTTAAATGTATTTTCTGAATGTAATTTTACTTTTTAAAATAATATATTATTTTATATATATATATATATATATATTTTTTTTTTAACAGAACCTCAACTCTCGCGTAATTTAACGTGGCTAGCCTATTGTTGACTGACAGGAGCTGCTGCTGTCAGGTTAACGTGAAGTACGTTAGTAGGAATTATCATGGCAGAATCAAAGAAGCATACAGCTAAGCGCAAATATGAAGATGAGCACAGAACATTTTAATCTGAATGGGAGGATTTATATTTTTTTGTTGAACGAAATGGAAAACCATTCTGCTTGATATGCCAGACGTCGTTGTCACATTTTAAGGCTTCAAATCTTGAGCGCCATTTCACATCACTCCATTCTACGATGACCCGGGAATTTCCCAAAGGCAGTGAACTTCGCAAGCACAAGGTAAACACTTTGAAACGTCAGACAGAGAAGCAAAGTCAGCTTTTTCGGAAATTTACCAAGCATTCAGAGACAGTGACATTAGCGTCATATCAACTGGCATGGAACATTGCTCGTGCAAAAAAACCATATCGTGAAGCGGAATTTCTTAAAAAGTGCCTTAGTGATGTTGTTGCTATTCTTTGTCCCGAAAATGAAAATTTGAAACGTTCAGTAAAGGACCTTCAGCTGTCACGGCACACAGTTGAAGAGAGAATATCGGACATTAACGACTCAGTTGAAAGACATTTATATTCAGATCTTCAGAAGTGCCGGTATTTCAGCATTGCTTTGGATGAGTCTTGCGATGTTCAAGATAAGCCACAGTTGGCGATATTTGTACGATTTGTGTCATTATTAAGGAAGAGCTGCTTGACATTGTGCCACTTAAAGACAGAACCCGTGGCATCGACCTAAAAGAGACACTGATGGCTGTTGTTGAGAAAGCAGATCTGCAGTTATCAAAGCTAACAGCAATCTCCACTGACGGAGCACCAGCCATGTTGGGATCTGGGAAAGGCCTTGTAGGGCTGTGTAAAGCTGATGACCGGTTTCCTGAATTTTGGACATTTCACTGTATTATCCACCAAGAGCACTTGGTGTCTAAAAAGCTGAACTTTGATCACATCATGAAACCTGTGCTGGAAATTGTCAATTTTATACGCACACATGTTCTCAATCACAGGCAGTTCAAAAATCTAATTGCTGAGCTTGATGAAGATCTTCCATCTGATCTGCTTCTTCACTGTGCTGTAAGATGGCTTTCAAGAGGTAATGTGCTTTCTCGTTTTTTTGAGCTTTTAAATCCAGTGAAGCTGTTCCTCGCAGAGAAACATAAGGACTATCCTGAGCTACGTGATCCCCACTGGATTTCGGACTTGGCTTTTTTGGTCGACATGCTGCATTATCTGAATGGCCTCAATGTGGATCTGCAAGGGAAGTTAAAGATGGTGTCTGACCTGGTGCAGAGTATTTTCACATTTGTCAACAAACTCAAGCTGTTCAAGACTCATCTACAAAAGAGGCAGTTTACACATTTTCCATCCTTGTTGAAGGCAAGTGGACAAGCAGCAGAGGTTGTAAACGGGAGTACTGCACGGTATGCAACACTGCTTGAAAATCTCGAACAGAGTTTTGAGGACAGATTCTCCGGCCTACGCCAAAAAAGACCACAAATTTCATTTCTTATCAACCCATTCACTGCTGAATCAGACTGTTTAAAAGCCCCTTTAGTGGAAGATGAAGCAGCAACTCAGCTTGAAATGATTGAACTTTCTGAGGATGACAGACTTAAAAGTGTTCTGAGGGAAGGAACCGTGGAGTTTTGGAAGATTGTGCCGAATGAGAGATATCCCAATGTCAAACAGGCTGCAGTCAAACTATTGTCAATGTTTGGGTCAACTTACATGTGTGAATCACTTTTTTCAACACTGAAACAAGTGAAATCAAAGCATCGCTCTGTCCTGACTGACACGCATGTGAAAGAATTACTACGAGTAGCCACAACTGAATACAAGCCAGACTTAACAAAGATTGTGGAAACCAAGGAGTGCCAGGTGTCCCACTGAGTCATGTAACCTTTTAGGTAGGCTGATACTATGACAAACATTGACAAACATTAAAATCCATGAAAACTATTGTGTGATATGTAATTAGTAATTGTAATAAGTAATACATTTTAATGTTATTGTTAGACACATCTGTTTTGTGGCTCTTTGCAGTGATGAGGGATTTTTTTTGGGCTCATCATGCTGAACAGGTTCGCCACCCCTGTTCTACAGCATATGAGATTATTTTCACAACATTTGGATAGTCAGGTTCAGTGTTCGTTGTAAGCTGGTCATTGTTACTCTGAAACTCTCCCTCAGATCCACCTGTATAGATCTACTATTGGATATCTATTTATTTAGCAGCAGCAAATCTTAAATGCTCACCTTAGCTTGTCTTTGTATCAATTGGCAGCAGCAAGTCCAACAAAAGCAGCAGCAGTGTAGCAGATCTAGTCCGCCATGACCATATATGTTTATTTATTTATTTAGACAGATCCATAATATTAATTTAGTAGACACTTTTATCCAACAGTAAAATACAAATGACGAACACTACAAACAGTATATGTATGTAGAATCATCACATGGTTGTTACATCGTATTGCATCATGCTGTATTTTATATAACGCTACAGGAACTGCTATTATCATAAATCGATAAACCATACCACACAGTGTTTGGAGGAGAGGATTGAGTTCTATTTCAGGCAATTTTGCACATTTCTCAAACCATTTCCTAGCAGAGTATAGAAACAGTCTTCTCCCAGAACCGCATGCTGGCGTTTGAAGGACAGCCCCCTCAGTGAATGCTTGGGTTTTTTAATTATCGTAGAGGTGACACCTCTTCCCCGAGCATCTCTCACCTGAGCTGTAAACAGGGCTGTGAACTTTGCCGTCAGCGGCACGACCCTGAGTGTCATTGATGAAGGGAAAAGCTCATTAATACACACTCAGCGAGAGACAACACAACACGGCCAACAGATAAACATTAAATTGCCCATATAGCTAATTTCTGATGTATTTTTACAGCACTTCAGAAAGATAGTGTCTCATGTTTGTGAGTATGACAATCTTACAGAAATGTCATCCATGTGTAATAGTATTGATTGCTGTACTGTTATTTCCACATTTGTGATGTTATTATGTGTTTACATATTCAAGGATTAGCAACCATGCAAATTCTGGACCAGGGACCAGCACAACATGAGGACCAGGGACCTGGTGTCCAAGTCTAGGTCGTAGAACCTCACAAATGTGTGCGGAGAGGGCCACTCCACCGCATAGCAAACTTTTAGGGATATCCCTGACAACAAGGCTTTGGAAGCCACCATACTTCTAGTTGAATGAGCTCTGACAGCCATAGGTGAAATCTGTCTACACGCCTCTTATGCAAGAGAAATAGCGATTATCGCGATTATCCACTTGCTCTTCCTTCGCTTGGTTGCTGTGGTTTATTGTCTAGGTGGCCCAAAGCACATGAACAATTCATCATACTTTTGCCACAGGGCAGCTTTTTGGACATAAACATCCAATGCTCTGACTGGGCAAGTTTAGCTTCTCCTGGTCTGGCGTCCAAAAGAGAGTAGGGCAAAAGGCCAGCAACACTATAGATCACACCACATTAGTGGGGACCTTAGGCACATACCCCAGTCTTGGGTGTAGAAAATAGGGATGTGCCCGAAGCCTGAATCCGAATTCGGAAGAGATTCGATGTAAGACAATGAGAACAACAGAATAATAATAATTTTTTAAAAATCTGAAAATGAGTAATGCATTCTATGAAGCCCCTAAAGGGACATGGTTAGGTTTGCTGCAGTAGTCGGTTACATCACAGTACATCAGATTTCACTTATTATGTAACGAGCTGAGGAACGAAAGGCGAGGATCTAAATGCAGGATTTTAATAAAGTAATAACAGACAAAACCACGAGGAACAAAAGCAACCATTACATGTACAACAACTGACAAAGTAACAAGTGAAACACAAGGGCTATAAATAGACAGGAACAAACAAGCTAAACAAGATAACAAGGGGGCGGGGCTAATTAGAAACACCTGGAGAGACTAATAAACAAGAAAAACTACAAAAGGACTACAAAACATGGCACAGAACAGGAAATAACAAAAGTCCACACAAGACACGAATCGTGACATATTACATGAAGATAGTAAGGAAAGATGACTGACAGGATGATGTCTGAGGATTTGGTGCGCAACAGATCCTGACCGTCATTGACAAATATCTTATCTTGTAAAATGTGTGGTAAATACCGCCACTCCCTATACACAGAGTATATGTGATGGCGAATTTGAAAGTGAAAGTGAAAAGTGAATACACATTTAAAAGCGATTTAAATACCCTGCATATTAATATCAGCTCCCTGATATCCGCAAATTATATACCATATAATTACCCAACTATATAATTGCGAGAGAATGCAAAAACATTGAAATATATTTTTTCCTCCCTTTAAAGGCTCTGTAGAATGCGTAATTTCCTTTCCGAACATAGTATTTGGATTCAGGCACATCACCAATAGAAAAGCTTTTACCATGCCAGGTGCAAACTCCAAACACAAAGGGGAAATGACAGGGTCTGAAGGTCTCCTAGGCCCTCTCAAATGGCACACTTCATATGCACTTTCGGTCTTCT